GAGCCTGACATGGGACTCGATCCCTGGTCTCCAGGATCACACCCTGGGCTGAAGGCTGCGCTAAACCGCTGAGCCACCAGGGCTGCCCCATCAATTTTTTCTTAGTGACTCTCTTCTACTTCTAGGAAGCTTGTTCAAGTATACAAATTGAAACCCACCAATCAAAAGAGAAGCTTTTCTCTCCTAAACCTCATTCCACTCATCCCAAGCAAAACTGTAAAACAACATAAAACCATCTAAAACAGTTCTTCATTGCTGGGCCCAACCCAGAGCACTTACCTTGGGCCTGAAGAGCTCCATGACTGCAATCTTCCCATACATGCCCACCTCTTTGACGGGCCGAAGCCCCTCAGCAGTGACCACATAGATCTCCAACCTCGTGTTTTTGGCAATCAACAGGTTCAAGTCTTCAGCTGAAGTAAAGTGTCCTGAAAGGAACAGATCCTCTAACTTTGGAAGCCAGAACAGTATCTAAATAATCCTATCACTTCTACTTAAAAACCTCCAGAAATCTCATTTACTTCATATATTTCTCTAGCTCCCTCCATTCACTTCCTTCTTGCCAAACCCAGCACCTCGGAAGAGTTCACTTCGTACATTGAAGAAAGCTACTTCCCTAATCAGACTAAGAAAACTGGATTGGGCCTGAGGGCAGCATGTCCTTCAGCTGACAAAGACTGTGAAAACCTTTCAGATTTTACTTCTGTGCCCTCACATTTTACTTCTCCTACTGCAGCGGCAGACGCTGGGAAGTGTTCATCTCCACTCAGTCCTTACTTAAATCCTCACAAAATCTTTAACAGCAGAACGAATGCAAATTCTGAGCTTTATATGAAAACACTGTTTTGTCCACACCTCTTGCCGTCCCCACCGGCAACTAATACCCCATCCACACTCCAGAGCTTCCCACTCTCCAAAAGCAGAGTTTCGTTTTGGAATCATGATTAGAGTTCACCTAAACATGCAAATCTGAAGTCTTGGTATTCTGCTAAGACCGTGATCAGGGTGATTATTCCCGGGTTCTGGATATCTGTGTCCTCTGTAATCCCTAAAGAGTCAACAGGCAAACCCAGCACTGGGCTGGGCCATCCAAACCCTCTTTTCCAGCAGCTCCCTCGAGTAAACAACAGCCCCAGGCAAGGAGGACTCCTCTCCTTTGGGTGAAGGCGCGCATTCCTCACATCCCTCCACCTCCTGCACCTCCCAGGCTCTCCTACACGAAAACTCTGACCCTCCAAGGCGCCATCACCCCGGCCCCTTCCCCTGACCACACGAGGCCAACCTCGGGGCCCAAGCACCGGCGCACAATCAACTCACACTTCGCTCTCTGTCCTAGTGGGCCCGTCCCCGTACCCGAAGGCCAAGTGACCTCCCAGAACGAAAGGGGGCCCTCAAACGCAGCTTCTGCCCCCCAAAAGGCGCGTGCGGAAGACAGCTTCTTTAAAGTCGTGGGCCGGGGGGTGCGGGGAGAGCTCGGTCGGCCGCCAGCACCTTCCGGTCCAGGGACTCGGCCCCGCCCGGCCGCCCCGGGGGCCGCGGGCCTCCCTAGGCCTCGGTTCCCCCCGGCTCCCTCCCTCGCGAGGTCTCCGGCCCCGGCAGCCTCACCGGTCACGCAGCCGTTCACGGCGGTGGGCTTCTGGGCCGTTACCACGTAGTTGTACGACATGTCGAGGTCTGGGGCGGCACTCGAGCGCAGCGACAGAGAAAGGGACACAGGCGGAGAGACGGCGGCCCCCACCCGCGCGCGACGAACTCCACTGCCTCTGCCTCTGCCTCTGCCTCCGCCCCGGAGACACGTCGCGGGCCAGAGCGGCCGCGTCGCGGGGCATCACGGGACGGCCTCCCCTGGCCTCTTGGAGGACTCGCGGAGCCCGAGGCGACCAACCGAAGGAGGCCCCGCCCCGGAGGCCCCGCCCCGGAGGCCCCGCCCCCCACCCGAGGCCCCGCCCCCGGAGGCCCCGCCCCGTCTCTTACCGCCGGAGCCCGGAGTGCCCGGATGAGAGCGCGCCGTCGCGGGTAGTGGAGAAGCTGCGGCGGCTACGGAGGTGTTCGGTGCGGGCGCGAGCGGGTGGGGGAGGTGCGCGGGCTTCCTCTCCGCCCTCGGAGCCTACCCGCCACCCTCAGCCCCAGTCCGCGGCCCTCGCTCATCCATAGATTCTGTCCTCTCCGCCTTCCATTGCTCCGGGAGCCGCCGAGGCTCTGCCCTCCTTTGGAACCGGAAGTGCTGCAGAGGTCTAGAAGGGGACGGAGGTGACAGCAGTCTGTGCGCCTCCCTGGCTAGAACCGAGGTCCGGGCCTCCTCCTCCTTAGCACCCTGTTCCTCCAAGCTCAGCCGGTACCTCACCCGACCCTGGAATGATGGATGACCTGGCCCACCTCGAAGGACTCTAGGAGGCTCGCCTCTCCCTTTAAGACTGTTCTATTTTTCTGACTTAGAAGAGCCCACCGGGCCCTTTGCCCAGCAATGTTAGCGTCCCTGCTGCTGTACCAGATTCCGGCCTCAAACACAAAACTAGAATGTTCCTGGTTAATGTTCCAGGAAAGCAGTCAGCCCCGCAATCTCCAGGCCGCTCCACGTCAGACAGGCTTTGCAGAGAGTAGGGGAAACCACGAGGCCTAGAAAAGAAAGCAACCTCCCTTTTACAGATGAGGAAGCTGAGGTTTAGGGGACTTGGTTTACCTAAGATCGCCCGGTCAGTCCGAGGCAGAGCTAGGTGGGGAATCTAGTGCCAACTCTTTCTGTTGCAGACACAGCAGAAGTTCCTGGATGACCCCAAGATACCTTTGCACAGGCTGAAACTGGAGGGAGCTAAGATGTCTTTGTAGTTTATTTGTGTGGTTTCCCACACCAAGGACTCTGCTTGACTTTGGAGGCCCTGCATTACTGGTAGAAAGAACACAGGCTTTGTAGAAAGACTAGGCTTGGTTTTGGGTCCTCCTTCTTACCAGTACGACCTTGGACACGTCACTAGAGCTCTCTGAGTCTGGTCCCCAGAAGTAAAATAGAGTCACAGCTTCAGTTGCCTCCTTCCTGGTGTGGTGCCAAGACCAAGTGTGTGAAGGTCTTCGTAAACTAATTCACTGCCCACAATACCCACGTAAGAGATGAAGTTACTCTGTGGGTAACGGCTCTTGTGATGAGATAGGGTGCTGCTCCCGGGCATAAAGGCAGCCCTATGCCCAACATGAATCAGTCTGTCTTCTGGCAGCCAGGCGCAGGTGTGAACCTTGCTCAGCCCCACACTCTTCCCCATCCCCAGTGCACGTACTAGAGTTTGGACTTGGATCAAAGTCTGGGGCAGCTCCCTCATTACTAGAGCCCTGGAAGCGTGACTGCCAGTAGGCTGCCAGTGCCTCCAGCAGCTCATACTGTCACCCTCTTCAGGTGCTGCTGCCACCTTCACTGTGAGTAGACCCGGAGAGCATCCACAGGATTTCGAATCCTCTGGCAGTTCATTGCGAAGGTGTGGATTCAGCGTGCTTTAGAGCCTTCCCCACCATGGTGAGTGCCCATGAGGGCCAGGGCAGAAGAAGGACACTGTGGTCTTGGAGCAGTGGAGGTGCCAGCTCTAGGCATGCTGAAGTTCCCTACACCCTGACCAAGAGATGCTGCTGCCGCCTGTGATTCAGAGAGGTTAAGAGAGAAGGTCACCCTCCCTCTTAGGGCTAGATCCCTACTTCCCTCCACTGCCCAGGGCTGCAGCTCCTGAGTCCCTGCAGGGGCCATCTGGTCCTGGTCTAGGTAATACATTTAGATTAGAACCTTAGATTACAATGTTAATAATTACTTACTCTGCAATAGACATTATATCAACAGCAGAAGGAGCCATGAAGGATCTGATGCCTGTTCCTGAGCCGGGGACAAGTGTGGGCTAGTCCCAGAGGTAGGATCTACACTGTGGGAGGCTCAGCATGCCCCTGGGCATTGTTCCAGGCCCACTCTAGAACTAGATCCAAACCAAAGCAGGCCTTGGACAGCCTTGGGTTCAAATTTCAGCCTGTCACCAACCAGAGACCTTCATACAAGAGACTGTCTTCTCTGAGCCTTTCCCCACCCGCACCCCCACCCCCATCTGCAATGTGAGGCAGATTAAGGCCCAATCTCCATGTGACTGTGAGCTATTGATCAGACTAGAATCCTGGGGTCCTCACTCAGTGCCTGATCAACTTTTCCTTTTCCATCCTGTCAGGCTACTGAGAACCAGAATTGGTCCTGGTCTCCGAGCCCTCCTCTGACTCAGTTTCAGAAGTGGTTGCAAATCCCAGGCAGGACTGTCAGGGATGGTGGGGGTGGGGGACACATTCTTGGAGGGGATGGCACTGGAGGCTGGGCTTGAAGTTAAGACCAACTCACAATTTCTTTGCATATTCCAGTCCCCGGAGGGCTCTCAGAGCTACAAGCCTATGCCCTTACTAGGCCAAGACCTCTGCCAGTCTCAGCCTCCCTTCAGCCCCTGGGGAAAGCAGCATGATAAGGCTAAAATGGAACTCTCTTTGGAGCCAGGCCGACCTGGACACTTGCTGTCTGTGTGACCTTTGGCAAAGTCATTAAACTATGCCTTGGTTTCCTCTCCATGCCAATCTTTCCTCCATAGGTTATTGGGAATATTTATTGAATGAAATATGTTCAAAAAGCACTTAGACCCCGCACCTGGCTTTTAGTCAATACCTGGAAACAGAGCCAGGAATAACCGGGTTTTTTTTCTGCTTGCTTCCTGCTGACCTGGGCTGCTCTCCTTAGCCCAGAGTAAGTGGGCTCAGCCCACTTTCCTTAGCCCAGGAAAGGCCAGAATTTGCTCAAAGGAACCAAGTGCCTGCAGGGAAATGCCCCTTGACAGGCTCAGCTGTGCTGCCCAGGGCCACCAGGCGGCGCTGGGAACCTGCCCTCTGGGCCTCTGTTGGGCTGCTGTCTCTCTTTGGGACAGAGGCAGAAGCTGCAGCCTGCTCTACAAACCTCGTTCAGCTCACACCAGCTCTTCAGGGCCTGTGTGAGAAAGGGAGTAACCGTCGTTTATTCAGTTCTTTTTCCATAACAGGTATATACTCTAGTTTATTAAGTCAGCGATTCACTAAAGAAGACAAAGGTCAGAACAACAAGGTGGCTTCCCTGAGTTCTCACAGCTGGTGAGAGGCAGACAGGGGATTTGAACCCAAGAGCTCGTGACCGCAAAACCCAAACCCTGTGCCACTCTGGCCCCAAGGCTGCCTACTGCTGTCACCCTGTGTCAGCTCAGCTCTACCTTCAGGCCAGTTGCTCGAGACCCTCCCACCAGAGTTTCGCCATGGCCAGGTTCCACCTTCTGCTTCTGAGGACCTGCCCACCTCTTCCTCGTGGTCTTTGGTCGCTCAAGTCATTCTAACTGGCTTCCTGGCCCGGCTACCGTAGGATTTCACCACCATGGTGTGTACTCTCCCTCTGCTTAGAATATCCTCTCCTTTTTCCCTACCACCCCACACCATGGCTCTCACATTCTTTGCTTTCCTAACTCCTACTTATCCTTTGCAGAGACTCCCAGGATCTACTGAGGAGGTGGTACAAGTGCATTCCTCTTGTGTAGCACTTCCCATAGCATGTGGAAATGATATTTGTGTTTCCATCGAGGGCAAGGCCAGCATTCTGTTATGTCTTCACTCCCAGTGCCTAACACTAGGAACCCATAGAGGCTCAGGAAGTGTTGTTTGTCCAGTACCAGAGGCCCTAGTTGGAATAGCAAATGAGTGTGGGGTCTCTTGTGTACCTTCTGGCACAGGTGCCTCAGGGTGGAGCTTCTCCTCTGACAGGAGAAGGCTGTTGGGCCCTAATTTTATTAATTCTTTCTAGACTCAAGACTCTGGTTCCTTTCTTTTTTTATATTGAGGCTTTTTTCCAGGTAAATTTAAGCCACGGTCCAAAACATGCCATACGTTTTGCTGTCATAAGTAGTCCCAAATATAGAGAACTCACAGAAACATCCAGCTAATAAAGTCATGCCCAATTCAAATTACTGGTGTGTCCCTGGAGTCTTTATGGCTGAGGAGTCTTTTTTTTTTTTTTAAGATTTTTTATTTATTTTTGAGAGAGACAGAGAGAGGCAGAGACACAGGCAAAGGGAGAAGCAGCCTCCATGCAGGGAGCCCGGACATGGTACTGGGCTGAAGGCGGCGCTAAACCACTGAGCCACTCGGGCTGCCCTAGTTCAGGAGTCTTAACCATAGCATTGTGGCTGGGCAGCATGGGAGTGTCCCTGTCACTATACCTGGAACTTCCTCCTGACTCTTCTCTTGTAGAACTCCAAGAAGCTGGTGAACACAGTGGCAGACTGTGCTGATGATGCCCTTGCTGGTCTGGTGGCCTGCAACCCCAACCTGCAACTTCTACAGGGCCACCGTGTGGCCCTCCGTTCTGACCTGGACAGCCTCAAGGGCCGGGTGGCACTGCTGTCAGGTGGGGGCTCTGGCCATGAGCCTGCCCATGCTGGTGAGTAGTCTGGGCCAGAGGTGGGGGCCAGATGCTAGGCAGAGTGGATGGGGGCTCCCAGAAGATCCTCACTGCTGCTAGGACAGAGCCCTGGTCAGGTCCTGATTCCTTTTTGTTTGTTTATTTTTTAAGATTTTATTTATTCATAAGAGACACACAGAGAGAGGCAGAGACACAGGCAGAGGGAGAAGCAGGCTCCTTGTGGTGAGCCCGATGCAGACTTGATCCCAGGTCCCTGGGATCATGACCTGAGCCAAATGTAGATGCTCAACCACTGAGCCACTCAGGCACCGTGGTCCTGGTTCCTACTGTCTCAGTCCCTCAGGCTGTGATCTGGGGCCAGTCATGGTCTTTCTCTGGGTTTCAGTCTGTATGTCTTTAAAAACACAAGGTTGGGCCAAATCATCTCTGAGGCCCTGCCAGTTCTGTGAATCCTGGCTTTCCAGGCCCCCACTGACCCTTTCTCTCCCTCATGAAGCCTTCTTGACATTTCCAACCTAGGGTGGTATCCCTCTTCTGAATTCCCACCCCACATTTTCACATGCAACACAGACAGTCGTGGATTGCTTCCTGTTCAGTGCCAGGCGTGTGAGCCTTCTCAAGAACTTCCGGGGGTGGGGGCAGGGGGGGGACACCAGGCTTTGTCCCCTGTAACCTTTCCTATCTCCCTTGACAAATCCATCCATCCACTAAGCAACCTTACCTGTTGTTACCTGGTACTGTTTGGGGCCCTGGGGGTCTAACAGCAAACCAGAAAGATAGGGGTCCCTCCCTCACAGAGCTTCTATTCTCCTTTGGGGAGACTGTAACCAGGTAAACATGTAAGTGAAAGAAAGCATCCCGAAGCATGTGTAGTGAAGTAGCAAAGACAAGAGAACAGGGAAAAGGAACAGGGAGTTGCTAGGGATGGGGTGATGACTGCCTCAGTTGGGAGATCAGGGGAGGCCTCTCCAAGGAGACTTCTCTTCAGGAAAGGTCTATGGAGGGCGACCCAGATGCTCTTTCAGCACCAAGCACACAGTGGGGCTCACCAAACCATGAAGCCCAGGAGCGTGGGAAGCCCTGAAGATGGCAGGCACAGGTCCCCAGCCAGCATCTCCTCCATTTCTAGGTTTCATAGGGAAGGGGATGCTGACAGGAGTCATCGCAGGGGCTGTGTTCACCTCCCCAGCAGTGGGCAGCATCCTGGCAGCCATCAGGGCAGTGGCCCAGGCAGGCACAGGTAAGCCTAGTGTGTGGGAGGGCTGCTGTGGGGAGGGCAGGCACTGATGGGGCCCTGCTGGCTGCTTCTGCAGTGGGGACCCTCCTCATTGTGAAGAACTACACTGGGGATCGGCTCAACTTCGGCCTGGCCCGGGAGCAGGCCCAGGCTGAGGGCATCCCCGTGGAGATGGTGGTCATTGGAGATGATAGTGCTTTCACCGTCCTGAAGAAGGCAGGCAGGCGGGGACTCTGCGGCACAGTGCTCATACACAAGGTGAGATTTCCCACCTGGGACGCTGACTGGCCAGCACCCCTCACCCCCAACCTTCTCATTCCAGGCAGCACCTGGACCTTTCCAGCCACCCCATCCCCCCAGGACCACTCCTTCCCCCGTGCTCACTGATCCAGGAAGGCCCACCATCCCCTGAACTACCTAAGCTCAGAACCGAAGCATTCTTTCCAGACCCTTCCCTCTACTTCCCCCACACCGAGCCAGTTGCCCTGTCCTAGTGATCTGACTTCCGAATTGCCCCTAGAATGCACATGCCTCTCGGAGCCCTGCCCTTCCTGTCCCAGCTTTCGTTCAGTGCCCATGTGCTCATGCCCAGCTGGCTGCAGCTGCTCCTCCCTGGGCTCCCCACCTGCTTCCTGCCAGGCTCCTCCAACGTGTGTGTTCCTCACACTGCCCCAAAGGTGTCTTTTGAAAATGGGCATCTGACCAGGGTTCTCCGCCTGCTGAAATCCCTCTAGGGTTCCAAGAGTCAACCTAGGCTTCTTGGTCAGGCGCCTACCACACTCTTTTTTTTTTTATTTTATTTATTAAAAATAAAATATTTTATTTATTTATTCATGAGAGACACAGAGAGAAACAGAGAGGCAGAGAGAGGCAGAGGGAGAAGCAGGCTCCATGCAGGGAGCCTGATGTGGGACTCCATCCCAGGTCTCCAGGATCACACCCTGGGCTGAAGGCGGCGCTAAACCGCTGAGCCACCAAGGCTGCCAGCGCCCACCACATTTGTCCCTCCTCCCTGATTTCTTTTTTTTTTTTTCAAAGATTTTATTTTTATTTATTTATGAGAGTGAGAGAGAGGCAGAGACACAGGCAGAGGGAAAAGCAGGCTCCATGCTGGGAGCCTGACGCGGGACTCAATCCCGGGACTCCAGGATCGGGCCCTGGGCTGAAGGTGGGCGCCAAACCGCTGAGCCAGCCAGGGATCCCCCTCCCTGATTTCTAAATCCTTTCTTGTCAGCCCTCATAGGCCCCAGTAATACCAATTCACTCCACACCTGGCTGCAGCTCTGGGACTTTGCTGATACCTAGCCTAAGACTATGAAAATCCTTTCCCTGTCCAACCCCGCTTTGGCCTGGCTAACTTCCACAGTTCCATGAAGGGCCAGCTCTGATGTCTGTCATGCGGGGAGGCTTCCCTTCTCAGTGCTCCCATCCTGTTGTGATGTACCCCCTCCCAGTTAGTGTTGGGTTTGTGTCTGTTTCCCCAACCTCACCCTAGATTCAAGTTTCTCCAAGATTGGGACTGTCACAGTCACCTTTTTTTTTTTTTTTTGGCACACACTAAATGCTTGGTAAAAAGTGGGTGGGTGTGCAGGTTGGGAGAAGCTGCTGCCATGCATGTGCCATGGAGAAAACTCTAGGCTGGTCATCAGGAAACTGGCTGCCAAATAGCTGTGTGACACTGGACCAGTCACCTCCCTTCTTTGGGCCCCTTTCTACATTTGCAAAGTCCCTTCTGGTTCCAACAGATTGGGGTTCTAGAAAATTCCAGGCAGGTGCCCTGTGAATGCAGAGGCTGCATTGTTCTGCCCAAAATAGGGTGGGCCAGGCTGATGGGACAGAACTGGTATGCCTTCTGCCCAGCTGGAAACAGCCCCGGCCCCTTCTCTCCACAAACAGCACACTGACTCCTTCCTCTGATCTGTGTGGGGACAGGTGGCTGGTGCCCTGGCTGAGGCAGGTGTGGGGCTGGAGGAAATCACAAATCGGGTGAACGTGGTTGCCAAGGCCATGGGTGAGTGCCAGCCCAGGGATTTGGAAGGGGAAGGTGGAAGGTCAAGGCTGACCTTGGGACAGACTAGGTACAGGTTCCCTGCAGGTGCATAGAAGGACTTTCTGGGTGATTCCCTGGGGGCTGAGGGAGTCTCCCTGGGGCCATTCCTGGGGTCCCGTAGCCTTGGGTCCCCAAGCTGTGTTTCTCCCTCACCAGTGAGGTGAAGAGTGTGGCAGCCTTGATCAGTGAAGAGGGCTGTGGTGGGCAGGGCCCCCAAGGAATGGCTGCTGCCCAGCCTGACGCCTGACACCAAGAACAGAGTAGTCACCCTTTCCATGCCTCACTTCCCACAGGGACCCTGGGAGTGAGCTTGTCCTCCTGCAGTGTCCCTGGCTCCAGACCCACCTTTGAGCTCTCACAGGATGAAGTAGAGCTAGGCCTGGGTAAGTTTGGGGCCACCCTTGGCCTGGCCCTGCCTGTGCTCTGATTTTCCCTGTATCTTCTACCCTGGGAGCTGTCTTCTTTGTTCACCTGGACCTGGTGCCATAGCGCTCTTAGTATTTTTTTAAGCTTTTTTTTTTCCAGTTTATTTAAGTAATCTGTATACCCAATGTGGGACTCAAACTTACAACCCTGAGATCAAGAGTCATATGCTTTTCTGACCAAGCCAGCCAGGTGCCTCATTGTATTTTTAAGTGGGCACTTGGAGGCCCTTCTGGCGCAGCCTGCGTGGTCTCTTTACCTGCTTTGCTGTTCATACCCAGGGCTCTGGCCACAGGGGCTCTGTGCCCCACCTACCTCCTTGCCTTTGCTCACACCATTTCTGGGCCCTCATGCCCCAGCCAAAATGCAGGCCTCCTCTCAAAAGTGGTTCAGAGGCCACCCATCTCCCCTCTTCCTCCCCATTGTGCTTCCAGAGTGATGAGCAGAGGCCATGGGGCCTCACTGTGATTGCTTCTAGTTAAAGCAATCTTAAGTAGTTAAACTTAACTAGTTAAAAGGTAAGTAGTTAAGGCTCTGGCTGTGTCCACCACCCAGCTATAAGCTCCCAGGGAGTGGAGACTGTATCTTTTTCATTATTCTGCCCATTGCTCCCCACACTCCTCACATCCACGGCGCCTAGCCTAGTGCTGAGCACTTTGTAAATCCTTGAGAAAAACATGATGATTGAATCCCTCATATGGGCCGGTGGTGACTGAGTCTATCCACAGGGATCCACGGGGAAGCTGGTGTGTGCCGCATAAAGGTAAGTGGACTCCCTGGCCTGGGCTGGTCTAAGACCCAAGGCCTTAAAGCACCTCACTCCTGGCTCTCGCTCTGCCAGATGGCAAGTGCCAATGAGATTGTGACGCTCATGCTGGACCACATGACAGCCTCCTCCAACGTGTCCCATGTGCCTGTGCAGTCTGGTGAGGGGTTGTTCCGCTGTCTCCCAGCCTTTCCTCCTACTCTGGGCAGGGCACCTAGCGAGTCTCACATGGGTGTCGTGCCTGCACACAGGTTCCTCAGTGGTGCTGATGGTCAACAACCTCGGTGGCTTGTCGTTCCTGGAAGTGGGCATCATAGCTGATGCTGCTGTCCGCACTCTGGGTGAGCCCCACACCCTGGAAGGGGACTTCCCCAACCCCTGGCATGCCTTTCCCTGCAGCCCTGTGAAGCTGGACAGAAGTAGCCACGATGGGGTCTTGTGATGGCCCAGAGCAAGGACTGTGTGGGCAGACTAGCCCAAGCCAGACCATCATGGTGCCAGCTGATTGCTGGGTGCCTTGAGCCTCTCTCCTCATCTGTGAAGAGGGGACAACAGTAGTTCCTGCCTTTTAGGGTTGCTGTGAGGATTATGTGAGATTACACAGACATATCCCACTTAGCAGCAGGGCCTGGCACCCAGTTAGAACTCAATAAAGGAGACTTGTGATCATCTGTGTGCCCTATAGAGGGGCACCTCCAGGGAATGTGGTTGTTCGGGGCATCCTTGAGGGACGACCTGAGGGAATCTGGCCATCTCACTAACTTTGGGTCCTAGTTTCCAAAGTCCTTGTTTTCCTCTGTTTCCTTCTCTGATGCTCTGAGGATGATCGCCCATCCTCCCCTCCTACCCTCATGGATTCCCATGCTCTGGTATTTCAGAGAGCCGTGGGGTGAAGATCGCCCGTGCCCTGGTGGGCACCTTCATGTCAGCCCTGGAGATGCCTGGCATTTCTCTCACCCTTCTGCTGGTGGATGAGCCTCTCCTGAAACTGATTGGTGAGACCTGGAAGTTGGGGTCATCCAAGCCAGGCCTCCTTTTAGCCAGAAGGAGCCTTAGGGGACTTGGAGATACCTCATCAGGGCTGACCGTGACCTCTACAGAGACACTCTTTGTGGTTTCTCCAGCCTTCAGCTCTCACTTGAGTTGGTATTAGGATCCTCCCTAGGGACCCTCCACGACACTTCCCTTATAAATAGTAGGCACTTGGTACTTGCTTATTGATATGGAGGGAGCCAGACACCAGGTCGGGAGTCCAGGCCCCTTTTGATCCCTGACTGGCTGACCTGTGTCTCTGAGTCATCCTGCTGTCCCTAGATGCTGAAACCACGGCATCAGCCTGGCCTAATGTGGCCAAAGTCTCTGTGACTGGGCAGAAGCGGACCCGAGCAGCCCCTGCTGAGCCTCTGGAGGCCCCTAATTCCACGGTTGCAGAAGGTAACAAGGGTGTTGCAGAAGGTACCTTGCTGTTGTGGAGGGTGGCCCTGGGGCTTTGGCCCATGCCCCAAGGGTGCAGGATATGCAGGGGCTCTTGTACCCACACATTCCCACACTGGTCAAGGTGGGCTGTGAAAGGGCCAAGTGGGCCTCTGTCACACTGTCCTCCATCTGCAGGTTTGGCCTTGAAGCGGGTGGTGCTTGTGATGGAGCGGGTGTGCACCACCCTCCTGGGCCTGGAGGAGCATCTGAATGCCCTGGACCGTGCTGCTGGTGACGGGGACTGTGGTACCACCCACAGCCGTGCTGCCAGAGGTTGGTGCTAGGGTCCCTCTGGGGTGGAGACAGGGGTTGGTGTAGAATATGGGTTCTGAGATTTTGGCATTTCATGAACCAGAACAATTTCAAAAGCATGGGGAGTGTTCACATGGAATGGCCAACATTTATTTTGCCAAGAGATCATTCATAGAAACTGGCACCCCTTTCACTTTTTTTTATTAGAAAAGACTCTCCTAATGCTACAAATGTAGCAGGGTGGTCATTGCAAAATAAAATGTAATCTTTTTAAGATTTATTTTGTGGGGAGAGAGAAACTCAAGCTGACTCTGTGCGGAGTGTGGAGCCCAACACTGGGCTCCCCATCCCATGACCCTGAGATCATGACTTGAGCTGAAACCAAGAGTTGGTTTGCACCACCAGCTGTACCGCCCAGGGGCCCCAAATGTAATATTTTTAAAATTACGTATTTATGTAGGTATATGTGTATGTATATGCCCCAAGATCAAGAGTCGCATGTTCTACTGACTGAGCCAGCCAGGCATCCCAAAATGTAGTTTTATAGTGAATAACTTTAGGTTCAAGGGAAACTCAATATAATTGTCCTTATTTTTCTCAGCTGAGACTAATGAAAAGCTCTTAATTATCCAGCATAGTTCTATCAAGAATTAGGCCTACCCCAGGCCTGGCACAGCTCTCTATGCTCTGAATAAAACAGTGAGCAAAGCAGATAAAACTCCCTGCCCCCGAGGCTTGTGGCTTATGGTCAGGTGGGGGAGGCAAACAGGCTACAGGAAATATCAGTAACTAAGATAGAGGATGGCGGTACAAAGGGCTGAGGAGAAGAAATGAAGCAGGGAAACGAGGCACAGAACATCTCAGGATGAGGGTGTATGGGGGAGGCCTCACCTCCTAGGTGACTGCCAAGGTCCCTGTCATTCCCCATTTCCCAACCCTGCCCAGACCGCACACAGGATGTGGAAAGGGAGCTTTGAGAATCTCCTGGGTTGATTCCCTCAGTCTCTGCCAGTGAGGTCAGGGCACAAGCAGATGGAAGGGAGGCGTCTCTGAATTCATTTTTCTCTGCCTGCAGCAATCCAGGGGTGGCTGAAGGAGGGTCCACCCCCTGCCAGCCCTGCCCAATTACTCTCCAGATTGTCCCTCCTGCTCCTGGAGAAGATGGGAGGCTCATCTGGGGCGGTGAGTACAAAGAGGCACTGGGACCAAAGGGCTGACACAGTGGGCTGCCAGGCTGCCTGAGGCCCAGGCCAGACCCACATGCTCAGTGTTCTGGTCCTCCCCAGCTTTACGGCCTGTTCCTGACTGCAGCGGCCCAGCCACTCAAGGCCAAGACAGACCTGCCAGCCTGGTCTGCTGCCATGGATGCTGGCCTGGAGGCCATGCAGAAGTGAGCCAGAACCCCATGCCTTAGACCAAGGGTGGGCTGGGAGCAGTGAATGGTGTCACCTGCTCCCAGCCAGGCCCTGTCCCTACCCCCAAAGTGAGTCCCTGCAGGGAGTCTTATTCATCCTCCTTCCCTGCCAGGTATGGGAAGGCTGCTCCAGGGGACAGGACTATGGTATGTATTCAGCCCAGCCTTTCCCTCTCCCTTTCTTGAGTATAGAAGCCCTGGAGGCCACCGTCAGTGGCAGGGCCTATCCTCAGTCCCCTCTCCCTCACCTTATCCAGCTGGATTCCCTGTGGGCAGCAGGGCAGGAGCTCCAAGCCTGGAAGAACCCAGGGGCCAATCTTTTCCAAGTTTTGACCAAAGCAGTCCAGGTGAGTGAGGCTGGACCCAGCGACCCAGGAAGACAGACTTAGAGCCGCCAGGCTCCCATATCTGTAGGACTTTGAGCAAGTTAATATCCTTCCTGTCCTGTTTCCTCCTCCAAACATGGAGAGGAGTACCTGTCTCTGGGTAGCTCTGAGGCTTGAGATATGTGGAGCCCCAAGACAGAATCTAAGACATTGCAAGCCCTCAGTAGATGGTAGTCTCTTGCCTTGCTAGAGGTAGGCGACAGGTGACCTCTCTACCCTGATGACAGTACTTAGGGTGCTAATAGGGCTGGGACAGGAGGGTAAAAGGTCCTTGAACCTGCTCCCACACTTCCACCCAGAGTGCAGAAGCTGCAGCCCAGGCCACCAAGAACATGGAAGCTGGAGCCGGAAGAGCTAGTTACATCAGCTCTGCAAAGCTGGATCAGCCAGACCCTGGGGCAGTGGCAGCCGCAGCCATCCTCCGCACCATCCTGGAGGTCCTGCAGAGCCAGGGTGTGTGAGGGCCTTCTGGAGTGCCTCCTGGGCGGCAGGGCCTCACTGCTGTGCATAGGTGGCCAGTCACTTCCTCCTGTTTTCCCACTGTTACCCTCCCCCACCCCTTGTCCCTGTAGCCTGTCCTGAGTTCAGCAGAGAACCCTCTGCCAGCCTCCAGAATTCCTACAGGAATGCAGGCTGAGTGGGTCATGTACTGCTTTAGCCCTGCCTTTTCTCACTTCTGGGGTCATGCCGCTCTGCCCCCAGCCACCTTGGGGCCTCCGTGATATGCATTTTCCTAGGGTGGCAACATGGCCTTTAACTGGCCATGCTAATTTGGCTTTAAGGCTCCCTGAGAAAGGCCTGACCATGAGTGAGTGTGGAAAAGCAAGCGAATAAAAAACCAGATTGAAACAAGAGCTTCTGGGGATCCCTGGATGGCTCAGCAGTTTAGTGCCTGCCTTTGGCCCCAGGGCATGATCCTGGGGTCCCGGAATTGAGCCCTGCGTTGGGCTCCTTGCAGGGAGCCTCTTTCTCCCTCTGCCTGTGTCTCTGCCTCTCTCTGTGTCTCTCATGAATAAATACTTAAAAAAAAAGAGAGAAAGAAAGAAAGAAGAGCTCCTGCTGCTGAGGGACCTTTTTCCAAGGGTGTGAACCAGTAGGTCCACTACTGCCCCAGGTGCTAAGGCCTCAGCCCCTGGTTGGAAAAATCATGACACATCCACTACCACCCCACCCAAGGGCAGGGTCGCAGCTGGGCTGGCTCTACTGGGATCCCTAGTCCTGGTTTCCAGTACACACACCACACCTGAAAGGTGTGCTTTTCTCAGCACTCAACTGACAGAATTCACGTATTCTTCAGGAATCAAATGGGCAAGTGCGACGCCAGAAGGTATCACCACATTCTGAAGCTCAGTGGTTGAAGAGAAACTGCATCCAAGCAAAACCTCTAGTCTCTCTAGAGCAGTCACTGATGGCATGTGGGCAAGTGGGAGGGGGCTGCCGTGTCTGGTGCATGGTGGAGACAGTACAGCACACGCCTGGCGTGGGCATGATTGAATCCTGATTTTGCTTCAGACCAGCTACATAAACTCAGGCCTACTTACTATTTAGCCTTTTGGAATTCGTAAAATCAGGACAGTATCCATCTCAGGGATGTGGACAAGCACTGAAATGAACCAATGGACTCAAGTATGGTCCAGGTGCTTATTTGCTGAGAGTTACTATCATCACCAGTGTCTGCACCCAACTCCTTCTGGGTCATCTGCTCCACTGCCAAGAGGTGTCTATAGCTGGTCACAGTAGGAAGGGGGCTTTCCATAGGTTTTGGGCTTTGCCCAAACTTGGCTACAGGCCCCCTCAATCCTTGGGCTTCTGTTCAGGACCCCCTGTCCCCCCGTGGATGTGCACCATGGGTTTCCAATCACTACCTGTGGTGATTGGGGTGCACAGATGCACATACCCGGCAGCTGAGAAGGGGACTGGCATAAACATCTGGCCTATAGATCCCAACTCTACCATTTCCTGACTGAGTGACCTCAGTTACCAGTGACCAAGTCACTTATCCTTTCTGAGTTCCAGATTATAAAACAGGAAACATTTCCTTCCTTGTGAGCTATACAAGTACCCAGAAGCTTTTTCATTACTAAGGACATCCACACACACCACAAGCTATACCATTCCAGGAGGATAGTCATGGGATCTTTGGTGCCTTTTGGTTTGTTCCTCCCCAGAGGCTTTTACAAGTTTCCCAGAGCTCATTTAACCACAATGTCATTACAATAGAGGATGCTTTGTTTCTTAAAAACATGATAAATGGAAATCAAGCTTCAGGTTACAGGCCTACCCATGTGGAAAGAGGGGGCGCTGGTCACATGACCGGTGTCTGGCAGTTATCCCAATGGCTTCAAAGGGTCCATCACTCGGAAGTTCAGTCACAGTCCTGCTGACACCGGGCCGTGTGGGGTTGGAGTGGACAGCCAGCCTCCTCTCCACCTGCCAAGGGTAAATGCATCCCAGCCCCCAGGTATTGTGCCACTTGTCATTAAGCACAGCAGTATGGAGCCTGGGACCTGGCAGGGCTCATTTGGAGAGGGCAGGAAAAGCCACAGTGCCATCACTTAAGAGAGGAACAAGATTTCTCCCGTCCTCACCCTAACCCCAGCTTCTCCTCAAGAGGCAAGCAGCTGTTCACCCTCTGGCATAACAGGAGACTGGGTTTGGCCAAGCAAGTCACCAGAGGGGGAGATGAGGCAGTCTGATACTCAGCACCTTGGAAAGTGGCTGTGGCCCCTGGGGGTCCGCTGGGCACAATGTACCACAACTTTGGCTTTTTTATGGTGAGCGGGAGAGTGAAAAATCAGCTGGGTTGGCACTTTGCCAAAAGAGCGAAGCTGAGCCTGCCCGGGACAGGCAGAGAGGCCCTGATCTGGTGAGGGGCAGCAAAGGAAATCTGAAGCACCCTTGAGGATCATCCCTGTTGGACAGGATGTTGTTGGAAAAAGAGGCTACCAGGGTTCATCAGGCTGCCTGACCGTGACGGGCATGTAAGTCATAGGGGAGGCCAGGATCTAGGCCAGAGCTGTAGCAGAAGAAGCAGAGCCACATGGTCACAATGTTGGCAGACAGGGAACATGGCAACATGAAACAGAACAGCAAAGAGCAGTCAGCTGCTCAGCTTCTCTGCAGAAGCTGCTCTGCTGCCATTCTCCCCCCATACTTCCATCACCTCAAGATGTTTGTGCCCAGCCTCACATCTTGGTGGGCTGGATGGAGATGATGGCTGATGATGCCCACCCCACGGTGGGGGCGGCTCAAATGAAACACATGCCTTTAAGGGAAAGCTGCTGGACACCATTATCATACAGATTGGTGTAGATACAGATACCTCACTCTTCACATACAGATTGCCCTTGACTCCTGGCTCCTTTGAGCTGTCAAGATTTTCTGTCACATCCTTGGGGTCTAAAGGGGGAATCAGCCTGACCACACAGAAAGCAGGGGCAGCATGAGCAGCTGTGGTGCAGGGAGGAGGCCACAGTGAATGAGGAACCCAAGAAAGTGACGCCAGGAAGGAGTACAGAAGCCGAAGCCACCAAGCAAGGAGGGTGGGCAGCAAATTGGTGGAATGAGCAGACTCCCCCCCCACCCCCCTCCACCACCACATGGAGGCCAGAAGAGATTGGGGCCCAGAGCCCAAGGCAGGTCTGTCGCTGAAACCAGACAGGAGCCCCAGGCAGAGCAGAGCTTCTGAGGGGAAGCACCTCCACCTGCTCCTGGGTGCCCCTTCCTGCTTCACTCCCCATCACGCAACAGGGGCTGGAAAGACAGGCAGAGACAGGGGTTAATGGCATCACACCTTAATGTGCAGGCCTGAGTTCTTCAGAAAAACCCCCAACCTGTAGAGCGGTCCCCAGGCAAGCCACTTCATCTTTCAGGGAAGCCCCAATGTCCCTTGGCCTGACACACACCCCATCTCACCACAACCTTTGCCTGAAGGTTGGCCAAGAACAGGCAAAACCTACTCCAAGCACTGCACCCTTCAGCAAGCACCTGCTAGATAAGCTCCTACCCCTCAAGACTAGCTCCAAGACTGGAAAAGTAGAAATTACAACACCCTTTCTTCATGCTCAAGCACTTTCTTGGGGGAGAGAAGGCCATATTTTCCCCTCATGAAACCACAGAAATTTGAGGAGGGGACTGGCATAAACATCTGGCCTATAGATCCCAACTCTACCATTTCCTGACTGACCTCAGTTACCAGTGACCAAGTCACTTATCCTGTCCACCTGTCCTCTCCCAAGAGGCAGGCCCCAGGAGCTGCTGAGCCCAAACAGCTATGTTTGTCACAATGGCTGGGATGCGCTTTCATATCTGTGCTCCCCATTAGCCAACCCAACCCCACCTTCAAGATACTGGGTTTCCCACAATGTTACTGAGTGGTCTTCCTAGCAAGGCCCAAGGCTTTCCTAGGTGAGTCTTCTCTAGACTCGGCCCCATCCCAAACTGGAAGGGGGAAACCAGGACGCCATACCTGTCCCTCAGTCAGGATCCCTGGTTCTGGGCGTTTCCAAGATGAAACCAGGAGGATATAGAGCACCAGTAGCCCAAAGACCACCACCAGCATCCCAAGGCTGTTGGCAAAGATAGCCTCACTGGGCAGATTGGTGTATGGTTCAGTGGCATTGTTCCTGAAAATGACAAAATAATGTGGGCCCCTGAAAGATTTTTCACCTGTTTTTGCCCAATAGGAGACCCAACACCATTAGCAGATGGTGAGAAAAGCTTCCAAGGACCATCTGTGACCTGAAGCATTAACGTACTAAGTCCCTACCACCACCACAAAAAAACATCTGCAGACTGCTTTTTACCTCTGACAGAACTAAAGCTCTAAGAGGCATGATGACCTTGCCCAGAGTCAGACAACTAGTAAATGGCACAGCCAAGGCCTAAACCCAAGTCTGACTTCATATCTTATTTGCTTTCACTACCCATACCCCTGCTTTAAAAGAATGGGGAGACGGTAGTGGCTAGGCATGAAGGCTGCAATCTTAACTGAAACCCCGGCTCTGCCACTTCCTCACTGTGTGCCCTTGGGTAAGTTACTTAACCTCTCTGTGCCTCAGTTCCCTTATTCGCAAATGGCAATGACAACAGTATCTACGTTATAAATGATTAAAGGATTCAATTTAAGGTACCTAGAATAGTTTCTGAGAGATAGTAGGCACCAAGTCAATCTGAAGGTAAATAAATATTTGCTGACCAATTTACCAATCTCAACCTAAAGACTTCATGACCCTCCAGATCAGGAACAAGCTCAACCCCCAAATCTCCCCTCCCTTGGCAAGGTCCTACGATCACAGGGTGCATCTTTTGAAGACCCTATGCTTTCCCGTCCATGTTAGAGTTGCCCCCCACCCCACTCACAAACTGAAGAAAAGCTTCTCGTTAATGCCAGAAATGACAGATGCGATGGACAGAGACAGGATGATGACTCCAAAGAAGACGTGGATGGGTTTAAGGAGGCTGCGCAGCCACACGGACATCCAGGGCAGCAGGAAGACAACAAAGCCCAAGAACCACTGTGGACACAGGGAGGAGGTGCCTGACCACACTGTGCTGTGCCCAGTGGTGCCCCAGGCCATCCCACAGCCCCCTGCCCTGGCACCTCCTGCCCTGCGGTGGTCCCTCACCCTTTGTTACTGGCTCAAACCTCCCACTAGGTGCCTGCCACTCCAGCTTTCATGCTGTGGTTGGCTGCTCAGCCAAACCAGCACATCCCATGAAATGCTTAGCTATGAGCCCAGTCTCCTAAAATCCCAGCCATCCCTGTGTGTCTCTGCTTCCTTCCAGTCCTGGCCCCTAAGACTCCTTGCTCATACGGGGTTGATGTCAAAATGCAAAAACCGCTTCCAGAATTGCTTCCAGTTCAAAGAAAGGTGGGAATGGGAAAGGTGGAAAAGACTACCTAGAGTCAGTGTGGCACATGCTGTGATGAAGTTAGCTCAGCATACTCCGGAATGACAGAGGAGTAGTGTGATGGGTAAGAGCAGGAACGGATGAGTGTGGGAAGCAGCAGTGTCCTATGGCTATTTAGGCTGCCACTGTTATGGGGATGTGGCCTGTGGGACTGTGTCCAGGCAGTGAGCAGAGGGAGTGTGTGGCATGGGTGCAAGGAAAGCCCCAACCAGAGCCCATGGCCACCAGCCAGTAACAGGAACCCAAAGGGGAGAACGCACCTGGCAGGCAAAAAGGAAGACGGTGACAATGCCCAGCCAGCTGTGCAAGGAGTAGAGATTGGTGATCCTGGAGCGGCGGTGGAGCTGAAAGACGGCCACCAGCCCCAGCACGGTCAGGATGAAGGCCAGCAGGTGCAGCATGGCGTGGCCGATCTTCCATGGCAGCTTCGGCCCCACCCACGACTGCGGCAGGCGGTACAGCAGTGACGCTGCGGGAGAGAATGTCCCAGGGCCCAGACTCTTCCCCTCGTGCTCCCCTCCACACTGGGGGAACTAACCTGACATGGCCCCACACAGCTTCCCAACCAGGGGAGAAGGAGATGCTGGGATGCAGCACCCCCTCCTCAGCATCTCCTATCCCTGCGTCATTGCTGGGATAGCAGTTGGCCATGACACGGGAAGAAAACATAGTAGTAAAAAGGGAGGAGTAGGTTTATCAATCTGCCAGTCTGTCGTTGCATCATATATGCACTTGTGTGCAGCTCTGCAGGTAAAAAAGCAATGTCACATTCATTATTTTTTTCTAAGTGAATACTCACAACTGTTAGTGGTCACAAATGCAGGCTTTTAGCAAAGTTAGATGGCCTATGTCCACATCCTGGCTCTGCCTCTTGGCTATTTGACATCTTGTTTCTAAATCTCAGTGTCGGGCAGCCCCAGTGGTGCAGCGGTTTAGCGTCGCCTGCAGCCCGGGGTTTGATCCTGGGGACCCTGGATTGAGTCCCACGTCAGGCTCCCTGCATGGAGCCTGCTTCTCCCTCTGCCTGTGCCTCTTCCTCTCTCTCTGTGTGTCTCTATGAATAAATAAATAAAATCTTTAAAAAAAAAAAAAATCTCATGTCCTCATCTGTAACATGGGGATAACAGCACAGCCCATCTCACAGGCTTCTTGGAAGAACAAAACAGGATGATGTATCTGAAGTACACAGGATAAGCTGCTATGATCCATGTTGTCATTGTTCCCATTTTACAGGTGGGGAGATGAGGTTCACCAGGGCCCCAAGGCCCAGCTCTGAATGCATGGGGCACAGATGAGTCTGGCAGAGTAAGCAGTTCCCTCATGTAATCCTGACTGGGGGACGAGAGGCTTCAGTCTTCCTCTCCCTAAAGCAGAAGTTGGCAGACTACAGCTCACGGGCCAAATCCAGCTGTTTTTTTAAGTAAAGCTTTATTGGAACACAGCCACATTCATGTTTTCCGGTTATCTATGGCAGATAGATAACCAGTTGCAATGCAGGTCATATGGCTTGCGAAGCCTTTACTCTCTGATCCTTTATAGAAAAATATTGCCAACCCCTACCTTAGAGTATCTGTAAAGGCACCCTTCTCAGATGCCCCCATTCTCACCACTTTTTCCTACAAATGATACCTGGGCTCAGAAACAGCCCAATCTGTCCTACTCTCATAGCCCCAATAACTCAACAGTGACAAAAGCTCTACCACAGCCAGGGCTGGGCCACAGTATGTCTCCCATGACCTCGTACTCACCAGCACTGTAGAGTACCACTGAGCCAACAACCATGAATACTGGATGATAGTTGAACATGAGAAGGGTGCCATCCCAGGCAAAGCCACCATGCCACAACTGCACCCAATAGATGGTGAGGATGATGCACATCAAGCCCAGGAACCACAGTGAGTAAAAGGACAAGTAGAACCATCCCACAGCCATTCTGATTAGGTGCTCCTGGAAGAAGCATAAGTCACATGTCCCTGCTGGCTCTGCTGGCTTGAGTGTATCCCACATAATAGCTAAAGGAGGTAACACTGAGCTTGCTCTTGCTGGAAGTGTGGACACTTTTCACTTTAGCTCTCCTGCTACCAGCCTGGGCACTGCCCCATGAGACTTGGAAGTCCTGATCTCTGGTTATGGACAGTAAGGATGGCCCCACCCCAGTACCTGGCAGCTCTGGCTCAAGGCTCTTGGCCCAAAGCCCTGGGATTAGCCTCTCTTCACAGGACCAAAAGGTAAAGAATCCACCCCACCCTATCCCACTGAAAAGAAGGGGCAGGAATCCAAACCCAGGCTAGATCACACAAATGCCTAGGCCCTCGGTTCTAACAGAAGGTGGAAAAATTATAATCTACAAGGAGCAAACACCCTGCTATTAGGCCAGCTGACAGGAAGTCCTATGATCTCCCACTTCTATAGGAAAGTTCTTCAGCAGCTGGTGAACTCTATGGGGCTAACCCTCCTATTGAGGAAGTAAGACCAGGCCTTCACTCTAGAGTCCCCACACTCTACACCTTGAATTGGACAAGCCTCAGATGTCCTAGGCCTGAGACTTCTGCTTTCTCTTCCTCTGCGGAAAGTTCAGAGGAGAAAAGAGGAAGCAAGAACTCATGGTCTAGAAAGCATGAGTTTATTTTGAGATTTTTCTATGTCCCTGATAAAGTCAGAAACCAGCTCTGGTTTCAGACAAACATCTAGAGCCCTGAGCAGCTGCTCTTACAAACCAGGCAACTGGGCATGAGGGCTAGCAGGCAAATACACAAAGCCACAGGACCATCTCTGCTCTCAGCTAACATGTAGGCAGTATGGGCCCAGTTCTCAAGGCAGTCAGCCTGTCCCACGGACTAACACCAAGGAGGAGACACTAGGACATCCTGCAGTTGATACCTCTCTATCTGAACCAGCCAACAGAAAAAAAGGCAGGTCCCTTAAACAGCTAAGAACTCCCAAGGAGATAAGACACTTGATTCCTCACCCTGTAGACTTAGTGGCAGACTGACAGAGTGATGGCCAAGGCTCCAATTCTTATGAAGTGGGGCACCTTGAGCAAATCACTTAGCATTGGTAGGACTCATTCTTCTCATCTGAAAGAAAAGCATGGTAATGAGAATACACTGAAGAGCAGCCATGAGCAGACACCCCACTAGAACCCATGATCTCATTTGCTCCTGTGAGAAGTTATCATCTCCATTTTATAGATGAGGAAACTAAGGCTCAGGAAGATTAAATGCCAGCATTAGGACCCAGGAAATGGGCAGGAAGTTTCAAACCCTTGTCTGTTTGGCTTTAAGGCTCCTGTTTTTTCCTTGACCATAGACTGTCAGAAGAGCAAGTGAGAAAATGTCCATGAGGACCTTGTAAGGGCAAAGTATTCAACTATTGTCACAGCAGTCCATCCTACCTATAAGCTACAGCCTGAAGCTTGTGGCCTCCATGCCAGGCCAGGCCTCTTGGTAGCCCTGATACTATGCCATGCCAACTCACTCCATGGCAGGTGTCCACCTAACTAGAAACAGAAACAGACACTGAATGCTCAATGTGACCCAAGTTGGCAGTAATCACTGAGAAGAGAAGACTCGAGGGGCTGGGGGAAAAACAAAGTTCCATAAGGCTGAGGGTAGATAACACCATAACACCACCATCTTCATAGAAGTTTTGTGGCTCAACTACAGAGCTCAGAGATTTGCCACCCAGCTTCAGAGGTGTCCCCTTAGTCTCTGTAAGAGCAGAGAAAGTTTCAAGTCACCAGATGTTCAGTCATCCCCCAGTGAAGTCAGCATGAAGCACCTGGTCAGCAGGTTGGATCCATCAGACAATTATCTTTCATGACTTCCTTTTCCTTCGGAGAAGAAAAAACAAAAGTAAATATAATCCAAAAGGGCTGTATCCACCCTTCTACAACAGAGTCTGGATTACTGCTCTGGGACAGACTTAAGAGTTCACCATGGGGACACTTTTCTGACAGAGGGCTGTGATGTTAGACTGTTCACAGTACACAGATGAGCCCTTCCTCTGCCAGAGAGTACGAAAGAAGAGAAAAAAAGAATGCAGTGAAAACTGCAGCCCAAACTCTGAAAATGTTCTCTCATTTATTCCATGAAAGTAGGCTGTGCTATGATTTCAGGATGGGCTCACCATAGTTTGGTCTCTGATTCTGCCCTCACTTTGTAAAGCCCCATTCTAAGGCAGATCAGCTCCTCTTCTATCAAGGGCCGGAATGGTAAATACTTTAGGCTTTGCAGGCTGTAGCCTCTTTCATGATTGTGTCAGCAACTCTTCTGATGTAGTGCAAAAGCAATCATAGACAATACTTTCACAAAAGAACACAGCCATGTTCCCCAAAATGCTTATTTATGGGCACTGAAATTTCAGGTTCATATCATTTTTATGCATCACAAAATATTATCCTTCTTCTTTCTGTTAATCAGTTAAAAACGTAAAAACCATGCAGGCGGTGCATCAAACTTGGTCGACCACAATCTAAGAGATGTACTCTCCAACCTAATACTCTCCTCGGTCCCTTGACAAAAAAGGGTTCTGCCTGGTTGCAGTAAAACAGATCAGGCCCCTGCGCAGGAAATGAGTAAGTTTCCATTCAGCCATTTCCATCTTAGGAAAAAGGACTCTATTCCGAATTCTTAACAATACTTACTTTTAAAATTTAGAACTACAAGTGGATGAAGGAACAGAAAGCCAGTTTGTTGCCCCCACTTCCCAGATGAATGGTGGAGGGCTTGGGAATCCTGAGAATCAGACTTCGGGTTCAAGTCCTAAACTCTTCTCTTACAGATCAAAATCACTGGGACCCAAAGAAGGAAAGTGGCTTGGCCACGGTGAGTGGCACAGCCGGTACAGGAACCCAGGTTCGCTTCCCTCAGCTCCAAGGACTCCTCGAGTCCGAACGCAGCTTCTGCAAAGTCGGGTTCCCTAGATTCCAATCGGGAGGTAGAAAAGCAAGGCGCTCCTTAGCGCCGCAGGGATGACAGCCCCGCCCTCCCGGACTGCGGACTGCTCGGGCTGCTCGGGCTGCTCGGGTCTGGCTCTGGTGCCCCGAGAACGGCTCCGGGAGCCCGGATCCCCTACCCCAGAGCCCTCTGCGGGGACGAAGGGCCGCTTACTGGTCCCAGCTAGCCTTCGGGTGACAATTAGGGCGACGGGCTCCGCTTGCTGCCAGCGACTTCCGAAGAGCTTTCGTGCCCGTACAACCACACCACACCTGCAGGAGGAAGGGCACAGACGACGGCGTCCCGTTTCCTACAAGGGAAAGCTGAGGCCAAGGGAAGGGTAGCGAGCGACCGCGCAAGGCAGGGCGGTAGTGGACCCAGCACTCGAGCTCCCCGAACTCCCCACTCGAGCTCCTTCTCACCCCCGAACCACGGTGGGTCGCAGGGGTCTCCGAGGCCCGCCTCCGTCGCCACCCGGCGCCGCGGCTACCGGGACTCCAGGCCCAAGCAGCCGGGAACCCTCCGCGCCCCGCGCGCCCGGCACCGCCGCCGCAGGGAAGGCGAGCCGCGCCACCTTCCTCTTATAGACGCACGGCGCTTCCGGTCGCGCCCGCGGCCGCCTGGGAAATGGAGTCCCAGGCCGCCGGCTCCCAGCCCCACGCTCCCAGCCCCACGCCCTCCGAGGCGTTCCCTCCCCGGGGAGCGCCGCCACCGCTCGGCCCGGTCCCTCACCCCCATGTCGCGCTCGGCGGACGCCAAACCTCTCGCCGGGGGCTGGCCTCCAGCGAGGCCGCGGGCAGCCGCTGGGAAGGGCAGGGGCTGGATGCGGCGACGCTGCGAGGGCGCGAGAGGGCCCGCCCGAACCCGGCGGCCCGGCCGACCGCAGAGCGGAGGGGACGCCGAGGGCCGGCGGGCGCGCGGGGCCGACGGAGCCCGCGGCCGCCCCCTACTTCCGGGATTTAAAAGCGGTTTCCGGAAGCCGGGACGGCGTCCCCATGACAACCGACGTCGGGGCTCGGAGGTGAGCGCGCCGGAGGAGCGGGTGGGACGGCCCGAGTCGGAATTCCTGTCGCTGCCGTGCGGGCGGGTTTCTTGCCAAGGTAGCGCCCGTACGAAGTGGATGCGGAGGCCCGAGAGGAGGACTGCCCTGGGGACAAAGGGGACGCGGGGAAGGGGGAGCTGCGGACAGACCCAGACGGCTTGGTCACCGCGCGAATCGCTGCTGCCCTGCGGCGGCGGCGGCGGCGGTGGGCGTGCTGCGGGCAGCCAGCCGGGCGCGGGGGCGTCGTGGCTTAGCGCGCGGGCTGGGTGTCCGCCCTCGCTGCGAGGCGACCCGGGGCGGACTCGAACTCCGGCCCTGTGCAAGTGCTCTTGCCTGGAGAACGGAGGGAATCATCCTTTCTCCCCTTTGCCGAGTTGTCCTGGCCGCCACGTTTACCATAGAGCTGGTAGTAGGTGGTAGCTGCCAGTGCCGCTTGATGGATGAGGGAGCTGGGCTTAGAGACAGTGTCGCCCTGCAGCCGTTCCGGGGGCGCTTCTCCACCAGGGGAGGTGGATGCGGTTCCTGAACCTGTCAGAGCCTCTGTGTGACGCCGGGGATTACAGTCACTCCAATGGCTGGTGCTCAAGACGGGTGTAGGATAAGGAACCTACCTCTTGAACAGTAATTGCAAAACGTCTCACAGATGTTAGTTTAGTCTTGTGCTCTGACGCTTCAGAGCATTTTGAAATTTGCTTAGAGATTTGACCGAGGTGGAAGGGTCCCAGGACACCCCCAGAGCAATTTCTGGGCCTTGGAATACGCGAAAGCAAAGGCCAGGCTCCCCTGATATGGTGCCACCCTGTTGTTGCCACCTTAAACAGAGTCTCGCAGGAGAGCACTATTTCTTGCTCACCTCCTGCACCCCTTCCTACTTCTCTGGCTCCGACATCTTTCCCACCTAGCTACCTATCAGCCCATCTGTTATGTGAGAGGCAGCTTTGGGGAGTAGTTAGGAGCACAGACTCTGGACCCAGGCTGCCTGAATCCCAATCCCAGCTCTGTGAGCTGGGACAAATTATTTTACCTCTCTGAGCCTCAGTTGTCCTAACTGCATAAGGGGTAGAGTGATAATAGTGAATCTTCTACTTCACACGGTTATTGTGAGATTTACAGAATTTTAGTGCTTAGAATAGCCCCAGGCAGGGGTGCCTGGCTGGCTCAGTTGGTGGAGCATGTGATTTGATAACGGGGATCAGGGTCAAGAGTTTGAGCCCCGCTTTGGCTGTAGCGATTACTTAAAATAGTCCCTGGCATATTGTAAGTGATATATAAAGGCTTGCTGCTGCAGTTAGTATTAGAGTTAGTATTAATTGCACAACCAGACAGACACTCCTTGTAGTACTCCTAGATTCCTTTGAACTCAAAAGTGGTTAGAAAGATTTCTGCATTGGGGCGCCCAGCTGGCTCAGTTGGAGGAGCATGTGACTCTTGGTCTCTGGGTCATGAGTTTGAGCCCCACATTGGGTGTAGAGATTACATAAAAAGAATAAACAAATTAAAACTTAAAGAAAAAAGAAAGAGCTCTGCATTTAGAAGTTTCCAGGCATGGAGAAAGTTTGAGGATAACGCTCCCCAGAAGGAGTGACTAGTTGGGTCACTTGGGACATGGTAGTGGTTTTGGTCATTGACGTATCCCAAGCACCTACACCTGGCATGGATTAGAGCCTCAATAAATATTTACTGTATTAATGAATTTCTCCCCCCCCTCCCCAACAGGCCCTTGTCTTCAAGGTAAACAGCTCTGATCTGAGGAACTAGTGCTTCTCCCTCAGTGCTGGGGAGAAAGCCAGGAGCTTTCTTTTGGGAAATTGTGGAATGTGCCCCTGGGGGCCCAATAAAGCAAAAGGAAGATGCTCCAGACCAGTAACTATAGCCTGGTGCTCTCACTGCAGTTCCTGCTGCTGTCCTATGACCTCTTTGTCAATTCCTTCTCGGAGCTACTCCGGATGGCTCCTGTCATCCAGCTGGTGCTCTTCATGTGAGTTCAGTGGGTGGGACTGGACAGCTGACAATTGTGATTTAGCATTTTAAAGTTATTAATAGAGAAACCTCAGGGAAAATAAAATTTTGCATGTCTTGGGTACTCCATAGACATGTCAAGGGTCCTGTATTTATATACCTCTAACAAGGGTCTGGGATCCAGGGAGCAGTCAGAGGGTCATTTTCTCTATCTGTGAGTAGAAATATTGTCTTACATTGTCATGAAAGAGGATTACAGAACCACAGGTTAAAAGGGCAGTTCTATCAGTTATATATATGGGTTAGAAGCTGTTGGCATTTTTCTTCCCCAGTGGCTTACAGACTCCATGAGGCTAGTTATCAATAGAAAACTGGTGTTTGGGCAGCCCCGGTGGCTCAGCAGTTTAGCGCCTGCCTTCAGCCCAGGGCATGATCCTGGAGACCCGGGATCGAGTCCCATGTCAGGCTCCCTGCATGGAGCCTGCTTCTCCCTCTGCCTGTGTCTCTGCCTCATTCTCTCTCTCTCTCTCTCTCTCTCTCTCTCTCTCTGTCATGAATAAATAAATAAAATCCTTAAAAAAGGAAAGAAAGAAAGAAAGAAAGAAAGAAAGAAAGAAAGAAAGAAAGAAAGAAAGAAAACTGGTGTTTGACACTGTCTTCCTTCATTCAACAAGTGTTCATTGGCCTACCAGACAGTATTCCAGGTGCAGCAGTAAAGCTGACAATTTCCTGCTCTCATGGAGTTTCCACTCAAGTGGAAAGAGACAACGAATACATTTTTTTATTTTTTATTTTTATTTTATTTTTTTTAAATTTTATTTATTTATTCATGAGAGACACACACACACAGAGAGAGAGAGAGGCCGAGACACAGGAGAAACAGGCTTCATGCACGGAGCCCGACATGGGACTCAATCCTAGGTCTCCAGGATCAGGCTCTGGGGCAAAGGTGGTGTCAAACCACTGAGCCACCGGGCTGCCCTACATTTTTTTTTTTTTAAAGATAATTTTGAATAGTAACAAATGTCATACAGTGGATGGAAAGCGGATGGGGTGGAGAGGGGAGGGCTACCTAAGGCAGTAGAGTTAAAGGAGGCCTTCTGAAGAGGGGACATCAGAACTGAGACTTGAATGGCAATAAGACACCGGCCGTGCCAAGATTAGGAGAAAGGCATTGCCATCTCACTAGATGGAAATGTGTGACAGGTGGTACTGGCTTTTTTTAGACATAGGGAAGAAAGCAGCTTCTCCTCCCAAGTGTCTAGAAGGTTAAGAGCATCAGAGCAGGGAAGCCTTGTCTGTGGGCTGCGCCTCACTGATGGGGCCTGCAGGTAGTTCAAACCTCATGTCATTTGGGCCCTAAAGGCCCATAACACCTGTGTGTGTGTGGGGGGGGGGTTCAGAGTGCTAGAGCACAGGGGGACCAGACTTCATGGTGTCCCTTAGGACTCAGAGCCAGCTCTTGGATCATCACACAGACCTCCATTTGGCTGTACTTTGTTTGATGTCCACAGCATCCAGGATATCGCAGTCCTCTTCAACATCATCATCATTTTCCTCATGTTCTTCAACACCTTCGTCTTCCAGGCTGGCTTGGTCAACCTCCTATTCCACAAGTTCAAAGGGACCATCATCCTCACAGCTGTGTACTTTGCCCTCAGCATCTCCCTTCATGTCTGGGTCATGGTAAGAGCAGAGCTTAAGGAGCAAGGAGTATCTTTTCCCTAGGAATTCAGCATCATTCTTTTATATCTCACAGAATCCTTGACAGGAAACAGGTGTGTTTGTGGTGAATGAATGTGGTGCCACCTGGGCTTGGGAATATGTGAGTTGCATAAAGCACTTCTGCCCAACCTTTCATGTTAAAGGATTGCCTTATCCAAGAGTTAGGGGACGCTTCTGGAATATTCCATTCACCTTTGCCCCAAACAGTCCTGCCAGAGGTAAAACAGGAAGGGGACTCTGTTTCATCATTAGCTGTTTGGGCAGGTAGGTGTTGGGACAAGATATTGTTAGATATCAGTGTCCCGTGGGAAATGACTGTGCCAGGAGTGCCACTTGCCCTTTAGTACCTCATGCCCTCTACTCTGTTCTCATCACTTATACCAGAAGGACTCCTCTCCAAGGTGCCAGCATGGCCTCACAGTAGATCCCAGTTTTCATGGTTCCAGATTTCTCCTGCTTCATGAACTGTTCCATCTCTTTGGAAACATCACCTATGTTTCCCAAGTACTCCTCTTGATCCAACACAAGAAAAGCCCAGGAGGCTTCCCTAGTCACTTCTCTACTAAAGCCACCTTCTGGGGCAGCCCGGATGGCTCAACGGTTTAGCGCCACCTTCAGCCCAGGGTGTGATCCTGGAGACCCAGGATCCAGTCCTATGTCAGGTTCCCTGCATGGAGCCTGCTTTTCCTCTGCCTCTGTTTCTGCCTCTCTCTCTCTCTCTCTCTCTCTCTCTGTCTCTCATGAATAAATAAATAAAATCTTTAAAAAAAAATAAAGCCACCTTTTTAGACTAAACCTTCTTAAGTTGCCCTTGTTATTCCACAGAGAGAAGTAGGGCTCACAGGAAAGAAACAGCAGTGCCAGAGTCTCTCTAGGTGCTTCCTGAAAAGGATTGTCTCTTCTCTGGGTCCTGGGACCAAAATAGGTCCTGGCTTTGTGCTTTGTACTATAAAGCTGTTAATCTGATTAAATCCTGAGTACACTAAGCCTTAATCTGACAGGAACTGAGCCTGAGATCTTCAAGGCCAGACAGTGACCAACACTGCAGTCCTGAGATAATGTGTAGCACTTCTCCTTGGAAAAGGCCATGGAATGAAAGGGAATAAGTAGCTAAGTTCAAACTTCCTCCTTCAGAGTTAAAAGGATATTTCCTTTGCACAGAAAAGGGAGTTTGAAGCTCCTTTGAGAAATACTCCTGGGAGTTGTGGGAAGGAAGAAGGAGGGTGAGATTAGCCTGTTTTTTTTTTTTTAAGATTCTTATTTATTTATTCATGAGAAACACAGAGAGGCAGAGAGACCTAGGCAGAGGGAGAAGCAGGCTCCCTGTAGGGAGCCCGATATGGGACTCAATCCCGGACTCAGGATCATGCCCTGAGCCAAAGGCAGATGCTCAACTGCTGAGCCACCCAGGTGTCCCGATATTAGCCTGATTTAAAACCAAGCGGCATTTCTGCAGCTCATCTGGTCACTAAACTTTCCCTTTCTACTCATGTCTCCTTCAGAACTTACGCTGGAAAAACTCCAACCGCTTTGTCTGGACAGATGGACTTCAAACGCTATTTGTATTCCAGAGACTAGGTAAGGACCAGAGCAACCTCAGGCCTCACTTTGGTCTCACCTGTGGCTCAGGCAGCTAAGGGCCTTGGTCCTTGCTTTCCCAGTCCATCATTGCCAGAATGGGATGAGTGGAACAGCCATGACAAGAACAGGAAAGATGATGGCCCACTGCCCTTGCTAGTAGTCACTGGGAAATCATGAGGCAGAGCTCCTTTGCCCTATTAGGTTGTGTCCTTAGCCTGTAATGAATATTCAGGAGCATCCCTGAAGTTTCTTTCCTATTTATTGTTCACAGCAGCAGTGCTATACTGTTACTTCTACAAACGAACCGCTGTGAGACTGGGTGATCCTCGCTTCTACCAGGACTCTTTATGGCTGCGCAAGGAGTTCACACAAGTCCAAAGGTGACTGCTTCTTGTCACACTGATGGGTGCCTTTCCTTCCTGACAGAGGCCACATTTATGGCTCTGTGGGGTGGGGTTTACCCTATGCACAGGAAGCAATGTGACTTTCGTAGGACAGGCTCAGACCACTTGTGTTTAGTAGTCAAGAAGGAAGATCTTCCCTCTTGCAAATTAAAGTGTTTCCCAATACAGGCTTTAGTACACAACCCTCTCTGGCCTCCTACCTCAGTTCTGCCCCTTTTCCTTTCCTGCTCTCTACTTCTCTTCCTCATAGAAGGCTGTGAGGCTTGATCCTTAGGAAGCTATCACTTAGCCTGGTACAGGAGGGGCTCCTGGCACCTGGTTTCTTTGCAGCAAACATAATTAATGGATGCAAAGAGTGATATTTTTGAGCTCCTAACTCATCACACTGTAGACATTTAGATTCTATACCCAAGGCACTTTTTTAACACTTTATAAATAGGAAATAAATTGAATTCTTTTTCCATAAATGGTGGAGTCTGTCTAGTGTCGCAGATAAGAGGTATATCAAGTCCTGGCCTTAGCATTTGCTTGACCCAGTGGGCAGCTTCAGTCACAGAACAAACACAGGTATTACTGAATGCCATTATGAGTACAAGCTATTTTTGTAGAAATTCAGAATGCATTCTGATGCCCCGCCCCAACCCTTGGAATTCCAGATTTCTGTGCCTTTGTTTTTTAAAGATTTATTTATTTATTTTTACAAATGAGAGCAAGAGAGTGCTCGAGTGTGTGTACATGCACACACAAGCAGGGGAGGAGGAACAGAGGGAGAGAGAGACAAGCAAACTCCACACTGAGCATAGAGCCTGACATGGGGCTCAGTCTCAAGACCCTGAGATCATGACCTGAGCCAAAACCAAAAGTCAGACACTTACTTAACTGACTAAGCCACTCAGATACCCCTGGACTTTTGTGCTTTATTCAGACTCTCCCCACCATCAGAGCCCTAAACTGCACTCAGAAGAATAAAAATCCCTAACCTGTTTTGGCAAAAAAAAACTTTTAAAATTCATGTGTTCATGGTATCAGTTTTCTATTGCCAGAATAATATGTAACAGACCACCACTGAACTTCAGTGGCATGTGACAATAGTTATGTGGCTCTTGAGCCTTGGGGTTCAGCTGATCGGACTGGTTTAGATGATTTCTGCTAGGCTTGCTCATTTGTGTGTCAGCCAGGCAGCTGTGATGATCTTGGGATTTGGGGCTTTTGGCAAACCTAGGCTGACCTCAGCTAGAATGACTGGGGTGTTCTGGTTCTCATGAGTCATCCTCCAGGGACTAGCCTGGGTTCATTCACATGACAGTGGCAAAGGAGCAGAAGAATAACCCCCATTGTGCAATACTTACTTCAAGCCTCTGTGTTGTGTCTCTTAGACTCCCATTGGTCAAAGCAAGTCATATGACTGTGCCCAGAGCCCAGGTAGGAAAGCACTACAAAATGTCCTGGTAAAAGGCACAGATACAGGGAGGGCCATGAATTGCAGCCTAACCACATCAGAAAGCTCCTCTGTGAAACATCATTCAGAAGTATTTTAGCAGGGTTTGGCAAACTTTTTCTATGAAGCACTAGATAGATTTTGAGGGCTATGTGGTCTTTGTTGCAACCATAAGCATACCTTGCTTTAGTGCACTTCACAGATACTGTGTTTCTTACAAATAGAAGGTTTGTGGCAACCCCGTGTTGAGCAAGTCTATTGGCACCATTTTTTCTAGCAGTATTTGTTCGCTTTGTGTCTGTCACATTTTAGTAATTCTTGCAACATTGCAAACTTTTTCTTTGTGGTTATATTTGTTATGTCCTCTGTGACCAGTGATCTTTGATGTTGCTATTGTAATTAATGGAAGCACAATGAACCACACACACGTTAGGGAGAAAAGTTAGGCCATAGATGTTCAGCATGTTGTGACTGCTCCACCGACTGGCTCTCCCCCATCTCTCTTGCTCCCCTCTGGCTTCCCTATTCCCTGAGACACAACAGTGTTGAACTTAGGCAAGTGAATAACCCTACAATGGTCTCTGAATATTCAAGTAAAAGAAGAGTTGCACGTCTCTCACTTAAAAGCTAGAATGACTAAGCTTAGTGAAGACGACCTGTCAAAAGTCAAGATGGGCTGAAAGCTAGACCTCTTGTGCCAAACAGCCAAGTTGTGAACGTGAAGGAAAGTTCTTGAAGGAAATTAGAAGTGCTGCTCTGGTGTTCCCACAAATAAAGCAAAGCAGTCTTGTTGCTGATACAGAAAAAGTTTGAGTGGTTTGGATAGAAGATCAGACCAGCCTCAACACTCCTTATAAACCAAAGCCTAACCCATAGCAATGCCAAAACTCTTCAATTCTATGAAGGCTGAGTGGTGAGAAAGCTGCCCAAGAAAAGTCTGAAATTAGCAGAGGTTGGTTCATGAGGTTTAAGGAAAGCAGCCATCTCCATAACACACAAGTGCATGGTGAAGCAGCGGCAGGACTGCTGAGGCAAGACCCTCCTCCAGCAAAAAGATTATGGCTCACTGAAGGCTCAGATGATTTTTAACAATTTTTTTTCATTTTTTTAAAGGATTTATTTATTTGTGGGGAGGTGGAGAGAGACTCTCAGGCGGACTCCCTGATGAGCATGGAGCCCAAGGCAGTGCAGGAATGGCCCCCACAACCCTGATATCATGACCTGAACCCAAACCAGAGTCAGATGCCCAACCTACTGAGCCACCCAGGTACCCCAGCAATTATTTTTTAATTAAGATAAATATGTAGGGTATTTTAGATATAAAGGTAGTGAACACTTTGTAGAGTACGGTACAGTGTAAACATAAGTTTTATGTGCCCTAGGAAACCAAAAAATTCATTTGACTCACGTTATGGCAGTATTTCTTTATTGTGGTGGTCTGGAATCAAACCTATATTATCTTTGACATGTGCCTGTACTCCACTTGGGCATTGTAGTATGAAAGGAGCCATAGATGATTTGTCAGTGAATGGATGCAGCTGTGTTCCAGTAATACTGAGGACAATTTGAATTTCATATCATACTCATGTGTCACAAAATATTTTTTGTAGATTTTTTTTAACCATGTAAAAATGTAAAGCTATTCTTAGCTCAAGGGAAAAACAGGCTAGATTTGCCCCAGGCCATAGTATGCTGAGTCCTGGTTTATTTATTTTTTTTTTTAAATTTTTTTTTTTTTTTATTTATGATAGTCACAGAGAGAGAGAGAGAGAGAGAGGCGTAGAGACACAGGCAGAGGGAGAAGCAGGCTCCGTGCACCGGGAGCCCGACATGGGATTCGATCCCGGGTCTCCAGGATCGCGCCCTGGGCCAAAGGCAGGCGCCAAACCGCTGCGCCACCCAGGGATCCCTAAGTCCTGGTTTAAAAGCCTAGAATAAAGTTCTAGGGAAAGAGAGACTATAGGTAATCAGCTGCACTGTCAAGATCTTAAGAGTTATTAGAAAAGAAAAGGTACAATGTTTAAATAAACCATGTAAGACCCCATATCCTGTAATTGGAACAAGTGATCTAAAAAAACCTAACAAGGGCAGCCCAGGTGGCTCAGCAGTTTAGCACTGCCTTTAGCCTAGGGCCCAATCCTGGAGACCGGGGAGACCGGGGATCGTGGGACCGTGGGAGTCCTACGTCGGGCTCCCTGCATGGAGCCTGCTTCTCCCTCTGCCTGTGTCTCTGCCTCTCTTTCTCTCTGTGTGTGTTTCTCATGAATGAATAAATAAAATCTTTAAAAATAAATAAATGAAAATAAAATAAAAGTTAAGCACCTGCCTTTGGCTCAGGTCATGATCCCAGGGTCTTGAATGGAGCCCCATGTCAGGGTCCCTGCTCAGCAAGGAGCCTGCTTCTCCCTCTCCCTCTCTGCCCACTGCTCTCCCTGCTTGTGCTCTCTTTCTCTGTCAAATAAATAAATAAAATCTTAAAAAAAAAAAAAGATTTATGTGGTTAATCTTCCCACTGCTCCCACTGCTGTATTTCAGCCATTGAGTTCCTTCTCCATCCCCTCTCTGATGACCTACATTTACTTGTATACTTCTTATAAACAATGTAACATTTCAGAAATATTTCCACCAAAAGCAAACAAACATACAGTTTGCCATAATCCCATCCCAGTCATTTCAAATATTTGACAATATGTATATATATTTTATATGCAGCTGTGAATATGGAATATGCCATAAAACAGTTTGCTCCTCTCCTACTTAGCAATAGAAATGTGTTTTTAAGATGGAATGTTAACTCCTTGGGGACAGTCAGCTTTCAGAGTTCAGAGGAAAGAAAAGTATTTTACAAATGCTTGGAGACTTTATTAGTAGGATAAGGTTGCTTCTGGCTGAGTAGTGCCTCAGTAACTAAAAAAAAATATAAAATATAAAAATTAAAAAAAAATAAAAATAAATAAAAATAAAAAATATCATTTTAAAGGGCCTCAGAATTACTGAAGGAAAGAGGACTGGGAGACCTGAAATTCTAAAGTAGAGAGAGTCATAGAGAAGTGAGCCGACAATTTGCAGCAGATTTTTCTCTGGGGGTATTTGCTGATTCTGGGTTTGAGCAAGAAGCTAAAAATCCATGCATTGCCCAGATAGAGGGTTATAGCCAGGAAAAAGTCTGCTGAGCCAGGTTATCTGATAACACTGGAGAAACAAAACTGAGGGCTGGAGGAGCTTAAAACACAAAACAATCATCTTCTCAAGATATTTACCAAGTCTTAGGGCCAGAGGCTATCAAAAGCTAAGCCTCAAAGCTCTGAAAAGCAGAATAGAATTTTTGGCAGGTATATGGTACTGATAATTAGAATTCAGGACCCACCAGTGGGAGGGAACTGTGAACAGATAAAAAGCTCAGGACTCCTTACTAGGAACAAGATGAAACAGGTAAGCTGACACTTATCAAAATTGCCGTAGCCTCAAACCATTTAGTTCCCAAGTGAGTTGACACTATATTTTTATACATAATTTCTGGATCTAATAATTACTGGCAGTCAAGAGATAGGCCCATATTATTTTTATTTTTTTATTTTATTTTTTTAAAGATTTTATTTATTCATTCACGAGAGACAGAGAGAGAGGCAGAGACATAGGCAGAGGGAGAAGCAGACTCCAAGCAGGGAGTCTGACATGGGACTTGATCCCGGGTCTCCAGGATCACTCCCTGGGCCAAAGGCAGGCACCAAACCTCTGAGCCACCCAGGGATCCCAGGCCCATATTATTTAAAACCAGAGTAAAAGAATAGAGAAGGGTGACCCAAATACTGAAGAAAGCAGACAAGGAGTTTTTGATTGAGGGTTGTGCTCTCTTTCTTTTTCTCTCAAATAATAAAATCCTTTTTTTTTCCTTTTAAAGATTCTATTTATTTGAGAGAGCCCAAATAGAGCAGCAGGCAGAGGGAGAAGGAGAAGCACTGAGCAGGGAGCCTGACACAGGGCTGATTTCAGGATCCTGAGATCATGACCTGAGCCAAAGGCAGACACTTAACCAACTGTGCCACCCAGGTGCCCCTAAATAAAATCTTTAAAACTAACAGGGCAGCCCCGGTGGCTCAGCAGTTTAGCGCCACCTTAGCCCGGGGTGTGATCCTGGAGACCCAGTCCCCTGCAGGGAGCCTGATAAGGGACTCGATCCCAGGACCTTGGGATCATGACCTGAGCCAAAGGCAGATGCTCAAACACTGAGCCACCTAGGTGCCCTATACCCAGGGACTTCTAATAATGGCTGAGATCCTGTTGGAATGAGGAACAGAGCAGAAAAAGCATTTAGGAAAACAATAGTCAAAAATCTCCCTAATTTGATGAAAGAGAGATTTATAGATTTAAGATACTTCACAAACCTAGAGAAACACAGAAAGGCCATCACTAGGATATCCTGGTCAAATCATTGAAAGCTAAAGATGAAAAGCAAATCTTGAAAACACCAAGAGCAGACAACATACCTCATATAGAGGAATAACAATTGATGGTTTGCTTTTCATTAGAATTTGGAAGCCAGAAGAGAATGTAACAACATCTCTAAGATACTAAAATGAAAAAAAAGGTCAAGTCAGAATTCAGCATTCACCAAAAATATACTTCCAAGAATGAAGTTGAAATAGATATTTTCAGATAAAAGAGAATTAGCTGTCAACAGTCCTGCACTATAAGAAAGGCTGAAGGAGTTATTTGGCTTGAAGGAAATGACAGATGGGAATTCAGATTCTCAGAAAGGAATAGAGCACCTCAGAAATAGTAGCCAGTTAAAGACTTTCTTTTTGTCTTTTTTTCCTGTTAATTTCTTTATAATATATATGAATTTAGAATGCAGTTTTTTTCCTAGTATACAGAATATTGATCAGTATATGGTAAATATACTGGGCCATAAAGCAATTCTCAATTTAAAAGAGTATGCTCTTTGACAATAATGGGGCTGAGCTAGAAATCAGTAACAATAAGATAGCTAGGTGGTTCAATCTAGGTCCAATCAGGAGACAAGCTATACAATCATTTAAACATAAAAAGGGTATTACTATAAAGAATTATTAAATTATGGCAAAAGAATAACTACAAAGATGTAAATAAAGAGAATTCTAAAAGGGGACTTGAGGACCGAGGGAGAGTACTCAAGAAAGGACAAACTTGGCAAGGTCCCCCAACCCCAAGGCGGGGGTTCAGACCTCACTGCAGCCCACTGGATGGTAGACAAGTTCACTGGTTTAGCTAGGCCGGAGCTGCTTCACAGTTGTCAGGCAAGACACAACCCTCTAAACACAGGTAAGCTGAGGCTGGTGAGCAGGTGCAGGGAGTGTAGAGATACCATCTGCAGGCGCCAGGCCCAGAGCATACAGTATCCACATTGGAAAGATTGCAGGAAACAACCTTCAGGCCACAGGTGAGCCAAGGCTGTTGGGAAGGTGACCAAAATAGAGGAGTGTCCTGTGTGATGAGGCCTGGAGTGCATGACCTCCACACAGGGCATGGAGGGCCATGGGAATTAACCCTCCAGGGAGAAGAGCCAAAGTTGGTGAACAGATGTAGAGAGCGAGTTGGGGCACTGCTGTGGGTATGTGGTGTCCATGCCTAGAGGGGTCTGGGAAAAATGATGGTCCAGGGCAAAGGTAAAAAAGGCTGAGGGTACAGATGCAGAGAGTTAGGGGGCTGCTCCAGGTGCAAGGCCTGGAGCATGCAGTATCCTTTTCAGGAGGGCCACAGCAAAGTAGTTATTGGGGCTGGACCAGGTCTGCCAGGTTGCTGAGGGAGTGCCTGCTCCTGGTGTGTAGCTGGAACAGAGCACCACCTGATGGCCCCTGATGGCCCTATGCACCTGCACTGCTGAGAGACCATGGCACTGGAGCATGGAAAAACAAACCAGAGCTCACTGGAGCCAAGAAGACAAATCCTTTCCTTCCTTGAGTGTCCCTCCACTGCCCTCTACTGACAAAGCTAACATCATGCTCACTGTAAGGAAGGAATGCTTGAGTCCAGTCCATTATCAAAGAATAGGTACTAAAGGGTGAACCTGGAGCCGAGGCAAAAAATAGGTAACAAAATCCATCTTTTTGACTACTCAGATTCCATATGTGCCCTTCGATACATATTTGAACTTCCCTATCAGTTACATTCCTACCAATAAGATATATCTATCCTTAAAAGTGATGTTCTCACCTTTCTCACAAATGAGAAGACACTGTCCCAATAGTCACTGTATCCAGTACTGACTGTAGTAATTACTCCACAATTTTAGTCATAGTTCCACTAAATATTCTATTACCTAAAGATTAAATTATAAAGTTGACCTCCTACAATTTGTACATTAAAAGGGAAGTAAAAAGGAGAAAACTGTGTGTACAAATAAACACAAAAATAAAAGAAAAACATGCAAAGCTATTGTAGTCTTCATTTTTCTAGTTGGTCATTTTTGTAGCTAGTCCAAGGTCATAGTTGGGATCCATGGCTTTCTTCTTCAACTACCTATTCCATATTTCCCTTGTCTTCAGCTGAGCTTCTGCTGCTCTGGGCTCTTTACCTGGTAGAGGAACCCAAAGTCTCATTCTAAAAGATCTCGGTCCTTAATTGCCCTGCTTTTTGGGTAGCATGGATGCACTCAGAGGTGCCCCAGAGAATCCTCTGGGTTCCAGACAAAGTCTTCCTAGCCTTCATTGTATAGCAG